GCCTCGGCCTCCCAAAGTGCTGGGATGACAGGCGTGAGCCGCTGCACTTGACTCGGCATATTCTTGAGTTGACTTAGAGGTCTCCTGACTACACTGTTTTCAGTCTTGCTGTCTCCCTCCCGCATGAGATGGAGTCTCACTACCTTGCCCAGGCTGGAGTGCAGCGGCGAGATTTCAGCTCACTGCAACCTCTGCCTCCAGGTTCAAGCAATTCTCCTGCCTCAGCCTCCCGAGTAGCTGGGATTACAGGCATGCGCCACCATGCCCAGCTAATTTTTTTCTGTATTTTTGTTAGAGACAGGGTTTCACCATGTTGGCCAGCATGCTCTCGAAGGGTCTGGAACTCCTGACCTCAGGTGATCCACCTGCTTCGGCCTCCCAAAGTGCTGGGATTAGAGCCACCGCGCTGGGGCACACTATTTTTAACTGGAAGCTGCTTTCCTGTGTCAATCCTCTAAACATTAATTTTTATACAAGTGTGTAAAACCTTTCTAGGAAAGATAAAAATGAATTTTAAAAATTCTTTTTCTAAATGAAATGTCAGTATCATAGTTTGAACAACCACTTAAGCTATGGAGTTTTCCGAAATGAGCAGCCATTAACTGTGTTTGATTTTCAGCCTCCATCTATTAAGTGTATTCAGTGTTTTCAGGTCTATCACAATTTTTTTTTTCCTTTTTTTAAAAAAACATTTAAGGCTGGGCACGGTAGCTCACATCTGTAATCCAAGCACTTTGCAAGTCCGAGGCAGGCGGATCACATGAGGTCGGGAGTTTGAGACCAGCCTGACCAACATGGAGCAACCCCATCTTTGCTAAAAATACAAAATTAGCTGGGCGTGATGGCGCGTGCCTGTAATCCCAGCTACTCGGGAGGCTGAGGCAGAAGAATCGCTTGAACCTGGGAGGCAGGCATTGCAGTGAGGTGAGATTGTGCCACTGCACTCCAGCCTGGGCAACAAGAGCGAAACTGTATCTCAAAAAAAAGAAAAAAGAAATTAGCCGGGCGTGGCAGGGCGGGCCTGTAGTCCTACCTACTCGGGAGGCTGAGGCATGAGAATCACTTGAACCCTGGAGGTGGAGTTTGCAGTGAGCTTGGATCCTGCCATTGCACTCTAGCCTGGGTAACAGAGCAAGACTCTGTCTCAAAAAACCAAAAATTTTTAAAAAGCCACTTCCCTCCTAAGGTTCAATCAAATTCATTTAAACTTTTGCGTGTTTTTTTATATCAGTTAAAATAAGGATTCAATATCCTTAGAAATAGTCTTTTCTGTTTTAAATATAACATCTAAAAAATTGTAGTAAAATGCAAATAACAAAAATTTACAATCTTCATT